GTTAAATTATTTATTATTGGTTTCATTGGTAACCTGTGGCTAATTCAATGTGTTATAGAATTATACAGCTCCTGGTGCACATTTGTAATTGAATTGTAGTGTTTTGTGAGCATTTGAGGGAATGCTTTAAAAACTGCTTCAAAAGATTGAAACTCAACAGAGTTCTCATCAGAGAAAGCTTACAAGTGATAATGGATGTTTCACATAAACCAGGAAAAATAAGCTAGTTAGTATGAATCAGCTGGGCTGTTCTTCATGGGCACCATTCTGTGGAGGCAAAAGCTCCCTTTTGGAAGGTAGTGAAGATAAATAGGATTGTGGAGGCAAGAATGCATTCCATTAGAGAGAATTGGGATTGTTAGTTATGAGGATTGGCAGAGAACCTCTCACAGTGCAAAAAAGGGAAGCAAGCCCTAGGGTGAGGAGAGAAAAATACTGGGATAACCAGCAGTCATTTCAGTGGGAGATCTAGGATAGGAGAGAGAACTGAGAGCAGCCAAGAATGGAGCACTGATGAACTCTGAATCCTAGCACAAAGAATGACAGGTCATACACTGAAAAGCTAATGAATTATATTGATGGAATCCAAGCAGTAGCTGGAGGGAGAAGGACTAGGGGAAAAAAGATCCAGGAGAGTAAATTGCCTTGCTTGCAGATACATTATAGAAGATATAACTTCACAATTGTTGCAATCACTCATTTTCTTGAATCCTAGCAGCATCTGCCTTAGAGTTTCTACTTTCACTCTGCATCTTTCTTGGGATCTACCTCTTCTTACCTGTTTTCAGATTGGCAGGGTTGAATGTTTTAGTTTACTACCAAATAATTTTTTTTCAAGTTTGGTGGTGTCTTTTTCTAACTCTTATGTTGCTGCCACTCTTGACAAATCATGAGATGGCTCTTAATTAGCACCTGTATCAGCACTATTAAATATATCCTTAGTTTTAGGTATATGACTGCACATTGTATTGAATGGAGATGCTGAAACTCCTCCACTGTCACTTCTGTTTCAGTGAGTTTTACCCTGCTATTGGGGTTTAACCCCAGCCAGCAACTAAACCCCACAGAGTTGCTCATTTGTTCTCCAGTGGGATGGGGCAGAGAACCAGAGGGTAGGAGTGAGAAAAGTTGAGGCTTGAGATAAAGGCAACCTGAAACCAGTTCCCCAGTGAAAAGTAGCAACTGAGTCAGATTCTGCATTTTAAAAAATTTTAGCAAGGATTCTACTTCCCTAGAAAAAAAACTAAAACAGTTTCTAGAATGAACACATTCCTAGAGAATAACAATGAACAAAATAGTCATAGGGAAAGAACACAATTGGGAATTAAATTTCAGAAGTAACATATATTGTTCTTAAGTTACCTCTTCAAATACAATAAATTTTTTTATGTTCTTGATAAACCTGAATGGGGATAAAGCTCACTTTTCCCTCCTGGGTAAAAAAAAAAAAAAAAAAAAAAGGTGTTTCTTGATTTATTCTTCAGTTATTGTTGTGCTTTTGCCCCTGTATTTGCTTTTCAACTGTGATCCCATCTTATGATCCTGTCCGAAATTGTGGCCAAGCTTTAATTAAATTGCAGCTGTCAAGAAGCAATTGCATTTTTACATTGGTTGCCTGTTCCCTGTTAATTGATATTAAAAAAAAAAAAAATCTTAAATGTGATTTTATCACTTAATAGAATTAAAACTGCAAAATTTTATAAACTTAGCAAAAAAAAAAAAAAAGTCTGCAAAAGTTTTAATGCGGAATAAGAAGTAGCTTTAGCCATCTTAATTTCAAAATCTCCAAAGCATTTTTCAGAGTAAAACTTAAACCAGCTCACAGGTGCGTTATGAAATAGAAGAGAAATACAGTACCGTTTCCCTTCTTATTGCAAACCCTTCTTTTTAGAAGGAAACCTAGGTCTTAACAGTAAAGAAAAATTCTCAGCGTAGGGAAAACAGCCCCTGCACGGAGCCGAGCGCCCGCGGAGCCCTGTGCGGGCGGTCCGCGGCCGGCAGGGGGCGCGCGGGGAGCGGCCAGCCCGCCCCGGGCGCGGAGCGGGGCCCGCGGCGAGGCCCCGGCGCTGTCCCGCGGGATGCTTTCTGTTGACGGATTGCATTCCGGAATGGACGGCTATTGCCTTCCTTTGATAAATGGGGAGAAATAACCATCCCTTAAGCAAGCTGGGGAGGTGATGGAGAAAGATAGCTTAGTTATCACATAGCTTAGTTATGTGACAGCTTTTCCAACTTTCAGGCTGAAATCCGTCATGAAATACAAACTTCTTCAAAGTCGTTCTATCCGTTTCCAACTGTCACCATTCAATATAAGTATTACACAGTAGAAATAGTCAAATAATAGCTAAACTAGTTATATATTATTTAATACTGGATTTATTACACAGAAGTAACAATGGAAATTACTGAAATGTTTTCTGTGGACAGACTTCTATTTCTAAGAATTCAAAGGATCATCTCAGAAAGTCCTGGTCAAGTAATCCTGGAAATAGGCACAAAGAATAGCTGTTTCCTCCATGCAGGTTTATAGTTGCCCGTTAGTGTTTGGGGTGTGGTTCGGGGTTGGTGGTGATGGTGTTTTCTGTGGGTGAGTTTTCAGTGTTGTTTCTCCATTAAGCTACAGGGTTTGGCTGGAATTGTGTAACAAGTTGCAACAACTCTATGCATATTGTATATGTACGTGTAATTACACATCTTTCTTCTCTTCCTTCTATGTGTGGAAGTTACTTCTTTAATGCTCTCTTTGGGAAATAGAGTAAATTGGTGTGAATCCTGAGAGTTCTTCAAGGCCAGCTTCATCAACATGTCAGGTTATTGCCAAGTAACCACTACAATGTGTAGGGCCCACACACACAAATTACTCCTTTGTGTTAGTTTCTCAAAAACTGTGTCGTTGTTTTATTAATATGCACAGGAGTTTCATTCCAGTCATTGATTTACAGCTATCTGAGCTTCCAAAGCTGTGAGAACTTCAGCTACTCTACAGAATTAAAACATCTGCTCACAACTAACTCTAGAGAGTGACCAGTCCTCTTATCTATGTGACAAGTGTATGAACAGAGGTACAATGTAACTTTGTTATGAATTTGGGTAACTTTACTTGTAATTAGTATGTATTTATACATTAAATTTCATTCTTAATTGGTCAGTATCATTACAAAGTCACTGTATATCTGGCTTGGAGAAGTTCTATATATAATTTTAACTTCAGGCAAGACAAGTCATGATGGGTTCTGAAGGTCCTTGGATTCATGTTTGCTTTTTTATTTCCTTATGAAATATCAATTGAATAATGCATCTGGTAGAGTAAAATGTCCTACTTATGATGGATTATCAAACAAGTTGAATAAGTTCAGCTTTCAGCTGAAATATTCAGCATGTGGTAACACAATAGATGAGTATAGACAGGGTCAACACTTAGGAGCTTCCTTGAAGATGGAAACATTAATCCAAGCATTCTGAGTTAATGTTACTGGTAAACACATTTTTTATTCAATGACAAAACCTTATATTTTTCCAAAACAGTTCCAATATTTACTAGTTTTCCTGGTTGTATTCTTAAGGTCATTTGTTTCATCTTGCTGAAACTGATACATATTTCTAAGCTTGTGACTACCTCAGGTGGACATGCTTGACTAGGCTGCCTGGTTTTTCCTTTTTTTGTCCTTACATAAGCAGTCCCGTTGATTTTGAGGGGATTTATTATTTCATCTTGTATAGTTAGGACTATAGCACTGAGTATTGATACCAGTGGAATATTTCCTATAGTGCACTTACAAGAAAGTTTTATTGTATATTTTGTTGGCATGTAATATAGCAGTTTTAAAGAATAAGTTTGATTCAGTTTAGACAGAATATTGAGTAATGGCTGTAGGCTAATAACTACTGTAAGATTTGAATAATCAAGCATTCATTCATCTGGTTCTTAACTATAAATCTAATTAATGGTCTGTTTATAGGTTGCATTTATGTCAGCAAGACATATAGGCAACCTATTATAATAAATATAATGGTCTGTAATTATTTCTGTAATGATATGCAAAAATCCAAAATATTAATTTACAACTGTACATAAGAGATCTGATTATAGAACTTTTCCATTTATAAATTGTACATAAAACAGAGTCCCAGGATGACAGTGCTAACAATAGTACAAGGATTGCAGAAAGTGAAAGCTACAATCAATAAGTTTTAACTATTACTAAAAATCGTTAAACACTCTTAAGTGCTGCCTTTTACTCAACATATGAAGAAAGTAACTGAGTTACTAGATTCTCTGTTACAAATGTCAGTTCTTACAGACTATCCAAAGTTTGAGGGTTTAATTTTTATATGGAAAAGATATATACTTTAATATTCACTATGGCGTTCCAGACATACTGTCTCCCAAGATGAAAGAGGATAATGACATACACGTGGGTTTATGCCTGTACACATGTTTTGTGAAACATTTACACTCTGGCTGTGTGTACACTTTGTAGAATGGTTTTATATAGGCTCATTCTGGATGCATTATAGTAGTCCTTCATAGGTCAGTTTTAAATATATTTTCAATATGTGTAAGGCAGAATGTGGCCTTACACTACTAAACCTGTTAACATTTTAAAAACACCTGATGTACTCTGTGCAGGATAATTTACTAACTGCATGCACAATAGTAATCCATTCTGCTATTTGAAGTGCAGTAAATAATACCTAGGCAGCAGGACTCGGCCATTTAACTGGGGACATATAAGTGCTTTTCAGGGAAAGTGAGTGATACATTTCTTACTATGATGAGCACCCTTAAACTATTGTGGAATGATAGTAGGTTTATTTGGCAGATTCATTACAAATACTACCAGCTATTGATGAAAGCAGTGCTGTAAGAAGTAGCTACACAATCGTTTCGGTGGGTCATGTCAGACTGCTAAATAAAAGGTTGGGGTGGAGCAGGGCCCTGCCAAGCAGGAGATGCTGTCTCCCGCTGTTCCCTCGCGGGCACGGATGCGCACCTGGCAGCTCCGACGCACTGCATGTGTTGTTCCTGCGAGCAGGGCTGCTCCGGGAGCCTGAGCGGCTCTGCGAGCACAGGGGCTGCTGCGCGCAGGAGGGCTGCGCCTATTGCAGCGGGTGCTGCATTCGGGAGCAGCGGCAGGAGAAAGCGGCAGCGGGGGAAGCTCCCGGCACGAACAGCCCCAGGATGATTACTGTTCTCTCGTGTTGATGTTGTTTTTGAGCCGGAGTAGGACGCTGACTCCTGCTCTGCTGTTACACAGGAGAAACAACCCTGAGCTGCAGAATGAATTAGTAGCTAACACCACGATTACTCTTAGCGGTTAGCGCAAGTTGTGGGAGGGAGAAAAATGGGAGAGGAAGGAAAAAAAACCCCATTTAATGCTGCCTAGGGAATACCGTGGAATTTAGAACAGATACCGTTGTAGACTACCAGCATGCCTGACTGCACTTGACTTGAATCGCTGGGAAGCAGCCTCATGTTGTATCATTTAAGGCTGAAGGAAGAACAGCAGAATAGTGATGGATTTGTGTACAGTGTTTCTGCGTAAATGGAAAATAATATAAAGATGGTGGTATGTAATTTGTATTTTATTTTTAAGAAGAATTTAATCCAGGTATGTATGCTCTTTGTATTTTTGTCTAGTCTGCATACAGTTTTTGGTTTCCTTTGTTTCCTTTGCTTATTTTCATTCTGAATGTACCTCCTGCTGTTCTTGCTAATGCAATGCATTCATTGATTTGTAACTGATTTGCTTTCTAATGCTATAATGTTGATGAAACTGTCTGGGCTTCTGACTTCATTAAAAACCGGAGGAGGTTATTTTGTAAGGTTGGTAACTTTACAGTGTAAGCTGAGTAAGATAGTATGGTGTTGGATTTTTCAATGAGTTGGTATGTTTAAATTGATATTAAAATATAAAAAAATAATTATATTAATATACAGTGAAAGTACAGTATGTTTTGCTTATTTATGTCAGTACCTTTCTCCTAATTTGACAGGATTAGTAATAAATTGAGCTTTACAGATGCTTATGTATTTCTGGGTCTTGATTAATCTCCAAGATGAACACCCTGCAGCTTTCTTTTGAAGAGGCAGCTTGCTTAGACTACATGTTTGATTCCGTTCCACAGCTAAATCTGTCTTAGAGTACCCTTTATTATGTACTCCAAGCCACAACCTAAAAAACCACCATAACTATTTCATAGGTTTTTGTGCATGATTTTAAAAGATAAAATTAGTATTTTTCCTCCTGAAATTTCAGAGGCCAATAGTAGCTGAAACTATTTTCTTACTATGAGACTGGTGGTCATTTTGCTTTAAGAGGAAGAATTATGCAAATATAAAAATATGACTGCATTGTTTAGCCCTCACCTTTCTTCAGTCACTTGCCTCCTTTTGCATTTTCTTAATATATTCTTTCATCTGACATGTAAGCAGTGAAATAGAGCACAAGGCTATGTGCCCTTAAACTAAGGACACTGATAGTTGTCTTATAAATGGCTAGTAAAAATGTATTAAAACACTTAATGTTTATTTGATTTTTCATTAGTCTTGAAATATCTTAAGGCATTCTGCTGCATTTGTAATTTCAATGCAGTCTAGTTATAAGTAATATTTTTCTTAATAACGTGTTGATCTATAAAGGTCTAATATTAGTTCTAGCATCATAATACTGTTGTTAACCCCTGGCTGGCAGGAACTCTTACGCCTTAAAAACATTAACTGAAGTAACATCAGTTGCTTTCTGATGTGAAAATGAAACTGTCTGTAAAGTTGTAGCCATTTTTCAGAGAGGGTGGCACTATACTTGCTTCCTGTTGGTGATTATATAAAATAGATGCCTTTCTTTAGGATAATACACAACTATGATCTGGTAATTAAAAATTACCAGATACTTGATACATACAAATGTTCTAAAAGTCAGTGCTAAATCTTACAATCTAAACCAACAAACATAGTGAGAAAAGCAGTGAGACAATGCTGTTGAGTCTAAAAGCACCAAGATGAATGATAAGTAGAATTTAAGGTTTAAAGCATGTTTCATTCATCACAATTTCCTTTTGTAAGGGATATAATGTTAGGAATTATGATTATGAATTAAGATTAGCTGTCATCTCAGAGAAAAAAGCCATGATGTAAGATAAAAGATGGTTCTGTAAGGTGAATGTGCACAACTTAGAGAATTGCATAAAGGATTTCTGTCACTATACCATTTGCTTGATCCTGCAGTGATGTCAGCACATTATCATAATAACTATATGTTACTGTGAAAACACTTAAGAAATCTCAGGTAAAGTACTGGGATTCCAGAGTGTTACACAGTAGGAGAATACTCATAGCTCAGAATATCTCCCAATTCATTAAAGCACCAATGAGGACTGAAAATTCCAAATTTTCCTTTTTCCTTTCCGAATTTTCCTTTAGTGTTATGAAAATGCGGGGAGAATGTAGTATTAATAGCTTCTGCCTTGTGAGACCATTACAGCTCTGAAGCCTAAAAATTCTTTGGCACCTAAGAAGTTGTTACACTGGTTTTATTTTTCTCATTTGTGTCATTCACTTAGGTTGGTAACAGAGGTTCTTGCTTTCAGGTGCAAATCTGAGTATCACACTTGTCAGTATATGAAGTAAAGACAGCAGAGGGTTTTCTTAATAAAATTTTTGGAGCAAATTTAGAAATATGTTTAATGTCTACCATCCTTATCAGTGAATGTGTTTCAGGTGTTAAGCATGGTTTCTATCTGTGTCTGCCTACTCATCCTAATGTATGTTGTTGTCAACAGTACTTGTAGTCATTTGTGCTTGTGGTATTTTTCAAATCAAATATTGCACATGATTGCTACCATTTTTCAAATGAAAGACCACTTCATCAAAAGCTTCCCTTTTCATAACTTTTTGTTCAAAAACTTTGATGTTACTATTAGTTTAATAGGTTTTAGAAAATATGTAAAATCTCTGTATGCAGAGGAATGGAATCCAGAGGGCTTAATTTGCCCATATAAAGTTGTTCTCTTACTTGTAAGTAGTTAAAAAAAATGCCCCCAAACCCTAAAGAAAGAAAAAAAATCAAAGCTGTAGAGTGATGTAGTGCACATGTGGTCACTGAGTTCATGGTAAACTGTCCAACAGAAATCTAATTTAGGGCAGTGTGTTGCCCATTCCAAGGCTCGGGCCAGTACAGTTGGAGGATTAAAATTCTTATCTGAAAGAAAATGGGATTTTTTTTTTTTAGTTATATTTTCTGATGGAATTACTATCCTGACAAGTTGCTGAATTTTTTGAAATGTTAGTATCAAAAGAAACTTAGAGTACACTAAGTATACTGCAAATACAAACTCTGCATCTATGTTATGCTTCAGTGTAAATTAAATCACTTGGGTTCCCAGGGTATAATGTTTAAAAGACCCTCTATTAAAACGCAGGCAAAACTAGGGACAGAACTGAGATTAAGTAAAAATGCATGTTGATACATTCTGTTTTTTAATAGGCACTAAATAGGTTCTGATTATTATACAGTAGCTCTTTTATTTATGGCAATCTGACATAATAGCAAGCTGGTAATAGTCTAACAATACTAATATGTCCAGTACTGACTTAGTTATACAAAAATCTCCATATAGTCGGCAAATAACTTTTTCCTCCCCAAGTTTTCCATTCCTTTAGTAGTCTGCATTTAAATATAAATGAGCTATTTGGTGAAATTCTCTCAAATCTTAGCAGTTTTTGTACTGAGTATTGACTAAAACCAAGTTTTTGTATAGGACAGCATATATCATGTATACAGCTGTAAGAGGGGGAAAAGGTCATTATTACCACCTGGTTATACACTACAGTGCAATTTTATTTTTTTTTTAGTTAAAAAGTCAAGGAAACCACTAGAAAGATTAAAGAGAAAGAGGTCAGTACATTTAGTCAAATAACATTGAAGCTGTTATCCAAATCATTTCAAGTCACCTACATTATCTATTGTCTCTCCAAATGGCCCCAGTTTACCTTTAGAATCTGTTCTGTAGCTTGTTACATCTCAGTAGTAATCTACTGTATTTGGTACATCTCTTCCTCTGTTTTCAGTCTAGTCATGGCCATTGACCTTTAAGAACAGTTGTTTCAATTACAAGTTTTCATGTTTGTAATGTAAATGCCACACTATAGATTTGTTTCTAAGGAAATAGTGTTCTAAATGCTTTCAACAGTCTTAGTAGTAGTTAATAAAGAATTGAATTGCAATTGCCTCAGTTGCCTTAACAACTTTGTAGAGAAAAATGTAAATATTACAAAGGCGTAGAGAATAGTGTAACTAAAAATGTAATTTTGCAAGTTATTGTAAAATAGTGTGATTTTCTTCAATTTGTCTGTCTTCAACAGTAATTGCAAAGAAACCCCCCATCTTTTATTGAACAAGAAAATTCCTCTCTTTTTCTATAGTGGTTAGAGTAGTAGGGAAGCAGCGAATATGACTTTTCTGTCCAGAAAAATTACTCATCCTAGCTTGCTAGGAGCTTACATTTTCTTCTTGGTTAATCCAAAAACAATGTGCTTCTATACATTACAAAGTAGTTTAATGGCAACTGCTTAACTACTGAGTTAATTCACTAATGCACAAAGTTCTATATATTATTTCTGGGTTAGTCATTCTAAGTCATAATAAGCCAGTCAGGTTTAACCGTGTGCTGTTTCCACCTTTTTTCCTTAAACTCTGTTAAGTTGTATGCTGATAGAAGAGATACAGAATAGACATGAACAACCAGTCTTGCAGTATGATTGTTGAATTTTTAGGTTGGAAGAATCTGTGGTGTGCCCCATGAATATATGTGCAACCTCCTCAGGACAGCAGTAGGCCTTGTAGGTTAAAAAATTAGCAGATTATAGGGTTTTAAGATTGGGGTTTGAATCAGCAGTTTGGTGGTTAGTTTTACTTTTTACATTCTCATAAATAGAGAAGGCAACATGTTCTGAGGGTATTTGGATATGCATAAATAGCATGATCTATAAAGAGATATTAGCAGGTAAATAAGCAGATATAGTAAATTTTCCAAGTAATTTCGAAGAATAAGAATATCTTCCTAGCCAAAGGGTGAGAGTGCTGATAGTGCTCCATGCTGGACTCACAACATCCATGTGTGAATGTTGGAGGGGCTGAAGGGATAGGCAAAAGTCTGCTGCTGTGAAAACCTGAGGAATTCTTGGAGCAAAGAGTAGTTATCCAAAAGAGAAAGCAGGTCTCTTCATTGCTCCCATCCCTGCCTCTGGTCAGGGTCTTCAGGCAGGTCATCCTTGTAGCATATGCAGTGTTAAGAAAAGTGTCATTTTACCTTGAGATTCACAAATTACACAAATTAAAAATGTGAGTAGTTAAAACTACAGGGAGAATTTGGGAATAATATAAAGGACCAGATAAGTGCTCTAAATTAAGTTCTTCTGAATTAGGTTAGTTGAGATGATTGTCAATATACTGTTCCTGTTATAGTAAATTAATGAAGCAATGTGGAGTGTACACTGTTCTTGCTAATGCAATGCATTAGCAAAAACTAATAATGCTTGTCAAAAGAAGGGAGCATAGGTTTCACCCAGCAGACCTGGGCTGAGGGCAAGTACTCTTATGACAAGATAACCTTAATCCCAGGCAAGCATAAAGACTGGTAAAAGACCATAATTAATATGTCTGTATATCTGAATTCTTGATCCCTTATGTTCCTGATGGTAAGAGAACCTCTCTTAGTCTCAGTTTCTGCAGATGCAGGGTAGACTGTTTGCACTTTTTTTTTTTTTTGGTATGTTTAATTAATTAATTTCTAATGAGTATTTTGCATATCACAAAAATATGTTTCTGTCTATAGACTCTAGTGACTATTTTGGCAGCAATACAGACTAGTATTGCTGCAGATGAAGAATTCTTGGTTTTGTTTTGGTTCCCCCTACCATCTTGGTGTTGTCAACATGAACTGTCATAGGGTATTTTGTAGAGAGAAACTGCACTTCAGTCTCACCTTCTTGCCTGCCCCCTTTCAATACACACAGACCCCTTGTAATTGATTAATAGTGTGAAGGTTAAGCAAGGCTATGGTTCTGCCTGGCTCTTGCTTTATAAGAGGACAGTCTGCATCCAAAAAGCGACTTCTAACTGGAGAGAGCTGCTGCTCTGCAGCTTCATTTACTAGCATCTGAACAGAAGCTGAGCAGTTATCTAGCTATTCTATTTAAATACTAAAATTATATTTTTAAGATGATTCACTTGTTGTTTTTTTTTTTTGTAAAAATAAAGGGCTGGATTTGTTAAAATAGTTTTTTGAAATAGGGGTCTGATGTTCAGATATGTAACTAAAATGCTCTGTTTGCATTATTTAAAAAGCTATCATTTTTAACTCTGCCCACTCCTCCCCCCTTCTACCTTACACATTAGTTTTAGATTTGGAAGAAGATCCTTTATAAACTATGCTTCCAACTGACATTTTTATTTTGGCAATGCTTTGTAATCAATAAATCCAGTTGAATATGCTTGAAACTGTTCTACATTATGTGTTCGCCATCAGGTTGATTGACAAAGTTATTTTCAGACTTGCTATGGGTCAAAAGTTGATGGATGTGTCAGTTTGTCCTTTCTTTGTAGAAGGACCCCATTAAGAATTTATTTTAGTTCTAGTCTCATAATCCATAATGCTTTCTAGTTTCTTGCTCTATTACCATCTGGCATAAAGTCCATACCTTACTGCTGTAATATTTCAACATGAATCCTTATGAGTTGAATTTCAGCATAAAAACTGTTTTCATTCAATAAATAAGCAAAGTAAGAATTTAAAAAATTAGGTCATAATGGTTTATCTGGAGACCTGGATAAAATGAGAAAGAACAAAGTCAATCATTTGAATGAGGTGCAAGTTGTCATTTGGAGACTATGTGCTTTTTGAGAAACCCATCTTATGGAGTTTTAACTTTACATGGATTTAAAATGTTAAGAACAACCCTTGCAAATCTTTACAGAAAGAAATGGATGAGACCTGTAATGATTCAAACTTGATTCCATGTGTAGACTTACTATTGTAGAAAATGAGTTTTTGACAGAGCAATGGTAGGCTGTAAACTGATTAACAGATCATATGACTAATACAGCTGAGATGGAATAGAACTCGCATGAGAGAACATAAATCTGCTCCATTTAGCAGATCTCCCTGTGTTTGTAACAGTACAGCTTTTAATTCACTATGGCGTTGTCAGAAACTGGGTTTAAATAAATTCAGTTCTGAATGTTCAGCTGTTTGTAATACTTTCAGTTAACTCTGATAAAAAGCCTTGGTTAAACGCCAGGTAAAACACACACACGCGCGCACACACGCACACGCACATATATATATATGTGTGTGTGTGTATGGCTTGCTATGAAATCAAGATTCTTCTGCAGAGAAGCATTAAACCTTATTTAAAGTAAGTGGAAATGTTCCAGATTCCAGTGATAACTTCATTATTTCTTGATGCTTTTTAGATTGAGACAGGAAACAAGCCTTCTGGCTTGTCTATACGTTGTTGATTTGAAGTCATTTGAAGCATGTCCAAGTCATCTAAGTGGAGTTTATATAAGAGAGCATTTAAAAATCTGTGACTATGTGGGCAAAGGAGGTAGGCAATCACACTTCAGATCTTGTTCAATAAATGGTTACAAGCATTCAGTGTAAGAGCTGAATGGTTAACAAGTGTTTCTACATCCAGAAACATGCCTTTGACGTTGAAAAGTGTCCCAAGATGGTTCCTTTCTCTACTAATAATATGTGAGAACAAGGCAGCCTTGGCTCTAGTGAAACTTCTCAATATTCTGAGAGATGTCGTTTGCATTTCTTGAAAACTGCATGCAGTCTCATTGGCCATTCTTTTGCTTCGAAGTATTGCTTGCTCTTAATTCAGTCTTGATGCTTTAGGCATAAGCCTATATGAAAAAGTGGCAAGGACTGTGCTGATGCCTGTGTGTTAAAAATATGATTCATGTCCCCCAGATATTTAATCTTTTTATAAAATAATAAATAGACACTTTGGCAAGAGTGAAGAATGTTATCTATTCTTCTGCTCACTCTGCATCCCAATTTTGTTATAACTGGAAAGGAAATAAGTCTGTTTACATCCTCTGTTCCAGGATTCCAGAAGCCACCCAGGCTTTTAGCAGCTTTTCCTGTGCTCTGTGCAGAACAGTGCATTTTGCCGCTGCAGTATTTATGAGGGTTTAGCGTTTATTATTTACCTTTACATATGTGTATATATGTAATGAATAAATATATAGAGTGTAATAGCAAGGTCAGTGAAGACAAATTATGCAATGCAAAGACCACATCTTGAGGTATGTCAGTGGATCATGATGTTTCATAGAGTGCCAAGATGTTTGCAGACAAGGACAGTTCATATTATCTATTCCTCTTCAGACACCACAGAGCAATTTTTAACCCTTTATCTAAACAGATTTCTTAGTCTGCCAAAGAATGTTTAGTTGCTTTAAGAATCAAAATGGCCATTTTAAGAACTTCTTTGATGGATTTTTCAGAGCTGGATTTTTCTGAGCTGGTTGCCTTGTTTATTATTCCACAGCTGTGATACTGGGAGGTGAATGGTATGCTGTACAGAAGAATACATTGACATGTTTAAAATGTATTGACTACATTTCTATGGAATACAAGCTTTTGTTGTATGGAATGGAAACTTTTGGATACCTCATGGAAGCTTTTTAGGCTTCTTTTAGATCAAATAGTTTTCCTATTGTAATGGTACCTATTTATGTCCTGGAACTTGTAAACTATGTTTTGTGTAGGTTTGCAGGGTTTTTTCTGTTATCAGAATAATGTCAAATTGAATAACCTGGATGAAAATTTCCATTAGTTGTCATTATTTTCTGCTATACTCTAGGAGTTGTTTTATTTTTACTTCTTAAAGAAGAGATACCAGGAAGATAAGCCCACTTCTGAGTCCTGGCTTATCATAGCATATTCGAGTCTGGTATCAAAGCAACTATTTCACAAACTATAGTCATATACATAATTCAATCTCAAGATAGAACACCACATTGTGTATACCATACTCACTTGTACCTGAATCCTACCTTGTTCCAAAAGATGAAGCAAGAGAACTTTCTACTTCTGTTTTGTTAGTTAGTAACCATTAGTTGTCTTGTCCTTTTTTTTTTTTTTTGATCACTGTTTTATATCATAAGGATCTCAGTTGAAATGTCAGTACTCTGAAAGAAAGCAGAAAGCATTTTGAACTGAGTATCTCTGTTAAAGTCAGAGAATTAAACTGGATGAAGGCTGGAAATACATATAGCTTATTAGTTCTTGTTAACAATATTGCCTAGAACTGTTTTCAGCTTCAATATTTCATGAAAAAATCTATCCAGATAATTAGGGGGAATCATCTGTGTTTTCATTGTAACCTAGTTAAAACATCATCAGTATTATTGAATGATACGTTTGCTTGACAGACATTGTAATGTCGTTCCCTCCTTTTTAGACACTTCAAGAAGCCATGTCCAACACAGTGAGATTTTGCAAGACATACAAAGCCTCTTCAGGATTTTGTTTCGAACAAGCCAATGTGTGATTTTTTTGTTTTAGTTTTTCTGTCACATTATTCCAGAGCATCAGTAGTTTTTATGGCTATTGTCTCCATTGAAACATTTGCCAATGATCCTTTTGGAGATACAAATACTTCTCTGGATCAAAAATTGTGTTTTATGGAAACAGCTTAAAATAAATTGCACTCCATGGTTTCTGTGCTCTTCAAGAGCCTGATCTCATCTTATATATATAAGATTTGCAAAGGAATGTTTACAAAGAAATCGGGAAATAGTACAAAAAGGAAGGAGAGTTGTCAGAACAAAAAGGAACAAGACTTAAGTCAGATTGGACAAACAAAAAATCCAAAATTTTCGAATACTTTAAAAAGCACCGTTAAAAAGATTGCCAAGTGCCCATCTGCTCGCAACTTATCAACTGAAGAAGAGGAAAGCAATAGAGAATTTTCACTTTCTCCAACATTCAGTTACAGAGTTGCTATTGCCAATGGACTGCAAAGGCATATTTTTGTAGCAAACACTAATAATGAAGATATAGTTCAAGACCTGTCTTCAAATGATAGCTCATGTTCTGAGTCATTAAGTGAAGTAAAAACGAATAGCAAGAAAAACGAATACTTATCCCACACAATGCCTGTGCGACGCAACAGGAAGAGCTTGAGCAGCCTGGCAGCCTCTGATGGAAGTTCGGATGGAGAGCGCACTTTACACACACTGAAGCTGGGAGCCTTACGAAAACTAAGGAAATGGAAGAAGAGCCAAGAATGTGTCTCGTCAGACTCAGAGCTAAGTTCATGGAGGAAAACATGGGGATTAAGAAGTAAATCTCTGGACAGAACTGGCCGTCACCAGAAATCAAATACTCTTGAACCTGGCTTTAGTTCAACAGGTTGTATTAGCCAAACCCATGATGTTATGGAAATGATCTTTAAAGAGCTTCAGGGAATTAGTCAAATTGAAACAGAACTCTCTGAATTAAGAGGGCATGTTAATGCTCTGAAACAATCAATTGATGAAATTTCTAGTAGTGTAGAAGTTGTGCAAAATGAAATTGAACAATTGCGAACTGGATTTGTACAGTCCAGAAGAGAAACTCGGGACATACATGACTACATTAAGCAGATAGGCCACCCAGGAAACAAAGCAAGTCTTAGGTTTCTAAATGTGCCTGAAGAGCGGCTGGAAAAAGCTGAAAGCATAGTTTACAAAATATTAATGGAAAAAATGGGATTCTCAGAGGCACAAAGCACTATTAAAATTGAGTTTGCCCAAAGGCTTGGGCAGCAAAGAGACTGTCCAAATGCAAAGCCAAGACCCATTCTTGTTTACTTTGAGTCATCACAACAGAGAGATTTGATTTTAAAAAAGTCTTATAAACTTAAGGGAACTGGCATTGGAATTTCTACAGATATATTTTCCCATGAAATAAAAGATAAAAAAGGAAGAGGGCTTCCTTCCTCTCAGACATATGAAAGCATGGATATGAAATTTTTAACAGTGGAGACAAAATCTAAAATGCATGACTGGGAGTCACCTGACAGTGATAAAGACTTGGAGTCAGATATAAATAAGAACAGTTATGCAAAAATATCTAAATCAGCATTTCAGATAAAAACAAGCACTACAAAGGGGACTACTGAGTCCCCAAACACTAAAGACCTTGACAGAACTGCTGACAATAGCACCTTTTCACACAGAAGTTATGACAATCAGTCACCAGAATTTGACACTATGGAAAAACAATCAAAGGCCTATTATTCAGATGTGACTCCTTTATGGCATTTACAGAATGACTTTGCAACACCAAAGCTTAGCCGTTCAGAATCAGATTTCTCAAAATTGTGTCAGTCTTACTCTGAGGATTTTTCAGAAAACCAGTATTTTAGCAGAACAAATGGCAGTTCATTGTTGTCTTCCTCTGATCGAGAACTTTGGCAGCGAAGGCAAGATGATTCTCTAAACTGGTATGGCAGTTCCCAGGAACAGACTTTTGCCCAAGACATGCAGCAGTATCCAGAGCAAAATGAAACAGGGAACATAGAAACTGTTGATAGTGGAGTAAGCAATGGAATAATCCGTGTGTCTGGAGATATAAACCATTATGATGATAGTCAGCTTTCTTTACAGGATGATCTTTCCCCATGGAAAAACTGGAATCAGTTGGAACAAGGGGCAGATTTGGGCCTAGACTCATCCACGCAGGAAGTTTTTGTGTATGATATGAGCAGCCCTTCAGACCAACAAACAGATTTTGGAAAGGGCCAAAGTTCTGACCTCCAGTATGATACTGAAAGCTATGATTTTACACTAGATGGTACTTCTCCATCTTGTCCGGGCCTTGACAGTGAAACACAAAGTCAGTGGACTGGTCAATATGATGATTATCAGGAAACAAATTCTATCTCCTCTTATCAGAATCAAAACAAATTGCCTATGATGTACCGAAGTCAAAGTGAACTACCAAGTGACGACTCGGAGGAAACTGCCCCTAAATCATGGCACAGCCGATTAAGCATAGATCTTTCTGATAAGACTTTCAGCTTTCCTAAATTTGGATCTACACTTCAGCGTGCTAAGTCAGCTTTAGAAGTAGTCTGGAATAAAAGTACACAAAGTTTAAGTGGGTATGAAGACAGTGGATCATCTTTTATGGGAAGGTTTAGAACATTATCTCAGTCTACTGCAAATGAATCAAGTACAACACTTGATTCTGATGTTTATGCTGAGCCCTATTGCTACAAAGCTGAGTATGAGGAAGAATTAATTGAACCATCTGGTGAGAATGAAACGGACTATGTAGAAGTAATGGAACAAGTCCTTGCTAAACTTGAAAACAGAACTAATAGTAGTGAAACTAGTGAGCAGATCCAAGAGTATGAACTGGACCAGTCTTTGTATGAAACTCCATATGCCATGCTACCAGAGGAACAATATGACACACAGTTTGACAGTGTGATCAGTGAAGAGATATTGGAAGTTGAAAGTGACTTGGCTCCTGAAGTAGAAATAAAGGAGGATGAAAATCAGAATGTCCCAGAGATGATTACTGAAGTTACTGAAATTCCAAAGAAAAAAAGAGTACGACCATCATTTAAAGAAGCTGCTTTGAAAGCGTACAAGAAACAAATGAATGATTTGGAGGAGAAGATCCTTGCTGGAGGTAATAGTGTTTTAATACTATCTTCTAAGTAAAACGTTGTTCTCATTAGAATTGGACATTGCGTTTTGTATAGTACCTCTTCTTGCTCCCATTGAATTCAGCAGAAAAAAACTCCTTGTATCTGGTTTTGTTAAGAGGGTGAAATAGTTCCACAGAAATAAAAATATTAAATTTTTTCAAATTCTTTTTAAATAGTTTTCTGAATATGTTTTGTGAGACATGCTTGTAAGAAACTATATTTCTTTGAATTTCAGTAACTTGAAAATTAAATTTCATGAGATTTAAGTCTTGAAAAGAACTGAATAGTATACTGTTCTTAGTTTCCTCGTAGTTTTAGAAATGTATTTAAAGGAGTAATAGAGGCGTTCCGATACTACACTTTGCTTTCTTCAATAGTTTTCAAGGCATTGTTGGTTCTGTATTCATCCTGATGGGCAGTGTTCTCTACCCCCTATGCAACCCATAACATCTTATGTATTTATAAGAGTAGAAGTCTAAAGTGATTCTATGTCTGTTCTTACTTTGATTCTGTCCTTATTTGTACTCCCAACAAGCTCTCAGAGTAGTCAGTCCCCAGAATGGGATGAAAAGAGTGTGGAAGAAAGACAAGAGTGTAAATGGTAGCATCCATGTATGAAGAAGTTCCTTTAGGAAGGAACTAAATTCACAGGAGGGTTTGGCACTGATTTTTTCATTATTTTTTCTCTTTTGTATTATCAGACTTCAAAGCAGACAGTTGTATATATAACTTTAATAATATACAATGTAATTACTAGTAATAGACAAAGTAATATATTAGTGATACACAAATATGGTGATACTCAATGTAAACATTAATTGTAATTCTAATAACATCCATTATAATATTGCATGTGCATTTAATTGGGAGCATCATAATGACTGTAGCTAGCCAGATGGTAATTGTCACCTTGACTGAATCTTTCCTTTATCGGCCTTGGAAAATAATCACCTGATACAAAAAGATGAAAAACTGTGCCTTTAGCCAAAGATTGTAGTAGATTGTAGATTTAGTAGTAATGAGCTTGAGTTACTACAGTGTTTCTTTTGTACATGAACAACTACTTTTACAGTATATAGTCAACTTGAAAGTCAGTTACATATGCATTTAAATTTTGATAGTAGTAGAGTTTATTTTAAAGTCTATTTTACCTTTAACTAATGATACTCAATTGTATGCTTGTATTTTGCAGCGGTTTTTCTACAGTACTCTGTTAGACACTAGGTGATGTGTATATGAATGAACAGCTATCAACAGGACTTTCATTACTTCTTCCTGATTTTGTGAGGCATAGTAGAAGGGAACAACATCCATTTTACCTAGTCGTTGTATAATAGGAATATAATGGTCTCAGGAATATATTAAAGAAAGCACACAAGGAAGACCCCAAATTTTGAAACCCAAATTGATTCTTGTATTTAAAGTCTGCGTGTTTGGGAATAGTGGTAGATAACAGTTGCTAGAAAAAGAGAACTAACTTTGATAGATCCCATGCAATCCTTTATAGGAATTATTTTATAGGAATCCTTTAGTCTCTTTTACACTTCTTTTTGTCTTCTAATCTACTGACATTTTTTCTTCTGAATAACTGAAACTTTTCTTTTATTTACAGAGAATCCATTTGATACCAAGACCAGTTAATGAAAATGTGATACTGGGTTGTATTCTATTTGTATTCTATGGGACCAAGTGTCTGCATGGTTAGTAGATGTCATACTAGGACCTCCATTTACTTTTCAAAAAAATAAATTAATAGAATATTATAAAAGAGGAGGGAAATAAAGGAGAAAGGTAATACATGAGGAGGTTAAGGGGAGTTTAAAAATGAACTGCTACAACACACTACTTCTCAGCTCATTCTGAGAACAATATATATTCACTCTTGCACAGCAGCTCTGTTTCCTCTTCCCACTGTTTTCCATGCCATCAAGGAGGAGGATACATTTTTCAGTCAGGAATTCTGCTGCAGCAGTCATCAACTGGTTTGTTACAAATGGGTCTTCCGGTGCTGTATCACACCTAGCAATACCTATTAGCAGTGCCTATTAGCAATACCTATTGTCTTTCATGGTTTTTATATCTAATGGATGAATATGATATTCTTACTTTATGTCTGTCCACAGAACACATAACAGTTCTTGAGAATTTAAAACTTACAAAATACCTTTTCTAACTGAAGTAGTCTATTCAAAGAATACATTACCTGAAAACTCTTTTTGTTGAGTGACAGGTAGTATTGTTGGAGGAAAATCTTTCTTTATCTCACTTTTAGCTTACTCTCAGTGAGCTGGATAATGGATATTATAGTCAGTCTATTCACAGATAATGAAATCCACAGGTGGGATGTCTGTCCTTGGAGGTAGTCAGAATCCATCTGGACACGGTCCTGGTCAGTCTGCTCTGGGTGGCCTGATTTGAGCACAGTTCTTAGACAAGGCCTCCATAGTTCCCTTCCAGCCTCAGCTGTTCTGTGATATGGAAATGCATTTTTGAATACTTTGTATGCAGCCTTTGAAGAGGGGTGTCTTCTTAATGTCAGTTTGGTTGCTAAGACAAAACACCTTCATTTTCTGTTTATTATTTGAATGGCACAGTCTAGAAAAAAAGATTTTTTTAAATCAGTTCTTAAAGGAGTTCTTCAGAAGTCCCAAAACATATTTTGTAACTTCTCATTTTTGACAACCTGCCTTCTCTTCTTTATGTGTGTAATTAGGCATGTCCAGAGAATACTTAGTTTGTCATTTAAGCAAATAGTTGTATAAGGTATTCAGTTTTCATTTTAATATTTACAGGAGCAATAATCACTTTTTTTTTTAAGTGACTAATATCTGTTCTAGGGTTTACATTACTTCTATGAACATTTTTGGGGCTTTATTACTCTCTTACCCCTGTAACTAATTCACAGTCAGCTCCAGAGTTCTTACTTCAGATGGAAAAGTACTAGAAAGAGAACAATTTATTTGAATTAATCTTCATTATATAACCAAAACCTAAGCTATTCTTCAATGAATTGTTTCTTTCCTCCATGTAAGCAGGAGTTGTTAGACAACAATCTGTCCAAGCAGAGATAGAACCATATAATATAGTAGTTTTAGTTCTTCACTTTAATACAAAAGAAGGGTTTGGAATGATATTATTTTCATTCTAGTAATGCATAAGGTAAGGCAAATAAATCTTTGGTACATAAATAATTTGTTAGTGTACAAGAACCTCATAAGATAGCCCTGTTCTTTGTCACTAGCTGGAGGAAAAAATACACTCCAGGCTGATTGCTTATGTATTATTTATTGGAAAATGTTTTTGGAGGCATACTGGAATGACTAGGTTATATGAATGAGAGGAGACATGAGCAGTACCTGAGTAATCCTCAGATTTAAAGTTCTGTAAGGGTATAGAGACATTGCATGGATGCATGCATATTAATGGAGGGATTGATGGCTTGAAAAAAAAAAAAAATGCTACCCTGTTGTTTGTTTCTTTTTACACTGTAATTGAGAATGACTAATGCTTTTATTCATTGTTCTAGTCCTCACTTGTTTTCTAGCTTTCTTTTTCCCTGGTGGCTTCTTTCATTCCATCCCTATCTTACCTTTTACAGGTGCCTTAGCATAAGCATGATTTTCTGTCCTGATGAAACTATGCCTCTGGAAAAGATTCCAGAGTTGCATGCACTCTTCTCAGTTGCTTTCAATAACAGACTCTTTCTATGAGTGGTAGTTTGTGAGCAGTAGCTTCTTGCTCCACTTGTTGAAGATCTTGGTCATCATTTGACATGTCAGATTTTAAAAATCATTCCGATTTTAAAATGCCTTTGGTCTGAATTTTCAGACACAGAGTAACCTCTAGACTGTTTATGATGTTAAGATGTGTGGAGTCATCTAATTCTATACACAGATGCAGTGGGAACTCAAGAGGACAGGGAACAGGAATTGGATTTGCCTCTTTCACAGGGGAGAGAATTGTTTTTATTGTATAGGAAGGATTTGTATTTCGGTTTGTGGTGTCTGACTGAAGAACAGAACTTGGAGATGAGTATGAATACACTCTTTATTTTGTTTAACATCTGAAACCAAAGGAACCAGTAATATATTACCTCACTGTCCTGGTGCTGTGGTCATTTGGTTCCATGTTAAGAAAAGCTGCCAGGAAAATAAGCTTATTTCAATGCAAATTCAAATTCTGCCTATTAAAACTATGATTTTTCTGAAACAAGTACTTATTTTCTTATTTGGACAGCTTTCTAGCCTTTTTTATGAAAACTGTTAGTAGGAATTGACTTAGCTGTATTTTCTCAAAGACTAAAGGCTTTAGAAATTAATCTAACCCTGGCTTGCTGTACCTGGACTTTTTTCCCTATCTCTTACCTTCATCATGTTTGTTTTTAATGCACTTGCATAGGTGCACAGTTACTCATAGCTAATAGCTGTTGTTAATAGTTAATAGTGTTGTACTGGTTTTGTTACGTGAATGTGTCTTAGATTTGGACTTGAAATGATCAGTGCTATGGGCCAGATGAAAATAAATTGATCTGGTATTGTTTAGTAAATTAATCAGTCATTTTATAGCCACTCAGATGGAAATTGGATAAAAAAAACCTTACTCTGCTCATGAACATTCCTTACTCTTTGATGGTGACTGTAATGGAGAAATAAAAAGCTTATTAGAAGTTAAATTGGTTTTTTTATATGAAAGAGTTCCTCTGCACACAGTCTACTTTAACTGTATTGGGAAATAGACTTTAAGAAAGGACTACTGTTTGTACAAAGAGAAATATATCCCATTTTATTGCTTAATTGTTTGGGGTAACTACATTGACTGATTAAAATATGATGAGTTGTGTTTGGGTTTGGGGGGGGGGTGGATTTCTGTAAAACTAAAGTTCCTTTTCAGACTGCTGGTGCAGACTGGCAAAGAGAAGGATGTCCTAGACAGATGGCAGAAATTTAGTTTAGTGTTTAAAATACTGAAGCAATTATTAAAG